AAGGTGACTTACTTTAGTTGGTCCTATATTATTAATGCTGTAATAGAGCAATTAAAATGCATTTGTCTATGTAGCTGAGTGTGTGAGGGCCTGCGATTTTTCTCAGCTTCTATGCTCATGATGCCTCCTGTCTGCTGCTGCACTCATCAGGCAGGTCTTTGGTGACTTAGCCCTCCAGCCGAGTCACACACAGTCAGTATGCAAAACAAACAAACCCCTTTTGGGGTACAGAGTCCAAAATGTCTTGCAGCCCTCTCTGGGCTCAGTCTTCTAACAGTCCAATAGGATCCATCACGGTACCCTCTCCACTGGCGTCAACCTGCAGCTATCCCTGGGCTCAGGCTATTAATTAGTCCAACGGGGCCTATCGCAGTACACCCTCCTCTCCCCCGAGTTGGTACGTCTTCCTGTAGCCCTCCCGGGACTCATTCTTCAGTCTGACCGACAGGGACTATCTCAGTACCCTAGCTGGCCAGTTTACATGTGATAGAGCAATGCCCCCTGGGCTTTCTCCCTGGAGACTCTTCGCCTGTCCTTTAGTCCTCTGACCCCAGCTCTCCGGCTGGGTCAGGCTCGATTCAGTACCTTTGCGGGGGGGAATAGTTCCACATACAGTGCCTTTCCTGGGTCTGTCTCAACTCCCTTTTCTCAAGGCGTAGCCCAGTGATTCTTAAACTTTGGAATTGGTGACCCCTTTCACACAGCAAGCCTCTGAGTGTTTACCCCCCCCCCATATAAATTAAAAATACTTTTTAATATATTTAACACCATTATAAATGCTGGAGGCAAAGCAGGGTTTGGAGTGGAGGCTGACAGCTTGCGACCCCGCGGTGTAGTAACCTTGCGACCCCCTCAGGGGTCGCAACCCCCAGTTTGAGAACCACTGATGTAGCCACTTCTCCAGTGGCTGTTTGGGAGGGAAGACCTGGGCCTACCCACTACTCCAGGCCCCAAGCCAGGGACCATCTAAATAGCAATCATGTCCCTCTAACTGTATTTCCCTTGGCCACTTCCCTACAGCCCTTGTCGTCTATGCGTCCCAGCAGCCAGCCAAGAACATCTTCCTTTCTCCCTAGCCCCTGCCAGCAGCTGCTCAGTCCAGCCTTTCAGCTTCTCTAGCTAGCCAGGAGCACCTCTTACTCTCCCAGTCCCTGCCAGCTGACTGAACTCACTTTGGCTCTGTAACTCTTTTTATCCTAGCCTACTGGGCTTTGATTGGCTGCTTCCTGCAACCTCTTTCCTGGTTCGCTGTGTTCCACGCAGCCTCTCTATGCAGCTTAGATGATCTCTTCCACTGCCCTTTTCCTGAGGGGAGTGAGGCAGGACCTTGAGGCCTCCAGCAGAGGCCTCTGGGCCTAGTCCACCCCATCAGTCTCTATGAAGTTTTCATTTTGTATTACATTTTCAATCATATTTTCCTTTCAGGTCTGGTCAGTTTTATATTTTTGTAAATGGGACTCTACCTTTAACTATGTATAAAATTGGAAGTGGCAGGACAAAATATCCTGGCCCCAATTCAGGAGTGCATCCCTTTTCAGGAAGAGTGCTCAATATGCTTAAGCTTGCCTAAACTGGACCCCATGAGAGTAACATTGCATTTAAAAAGAAGGCTTGTTTACAGAAGATGAAAGAATAGAAAATGGCTGGACTTCAGGAGACAGTTGCACAATGGCATTATACAAACATACATGTGCAAGATGAGCAACTGACAGAAGAAGATGCACTAATAATCCATAAAGATGACTGTTACAGGTCTAAATTTTCTCTACTTTTAGGAAAATGTTATGCCAAATGGACAAATACAGAATTTCCTCTACCTTTTTGCCGCTGATCTCCTTAAGTAGATGGAAGGATATATTTAGATCTAGTCAAGCAACCTCTCTGAGTGCCCAGCCACTGCACTATAGAGTGATTCTCGCCCAATTAATATTTTAATTATTTAATTAAAGTGGAACAGCTTCAGCAAGAGAGATTGAGACCCACACCAGAGTATCACTTCCAGTGGCTAGGGAACTCATCATACAGGTAGGGACCCTCTTTTCACATCACTTCTCATCAGGGAAAGCAATTGAAGAATTGAACGGGGGTCTCTCACATTCTGAGTGAGTACGTAACCACTGGGCTAAAGGTTATAAGTGAGGTCCTCTTCCCTCCCCCATTTTGTGTGCCGTTAAGCAGCCTCTAAGAACGCCTACCGGGTCAGATCCTGCAAGCAAGATAGATGCTCCCCAGGTTTATGGATCATTCTGGGGCTTAGCAATGAGACAGGTGTTTGGAGGCCTAGAGTGAAGCAGCATGCCCAGAAGCAGAAACTTAGGCACCTAGATAACTTTTACAGCAAAACTTTAGGATCTGAGCAAGTTTTCACACCTACAGGGTTAGGCAGCAGCCAAGCAAAGTTTTTGTGGCTCGCAGTAGCTCCTAAAACGGAGACGTGGGTCCCTTTGCGGATCTGTCTCTAAATGAGTTGTTTAGGAGCCCATTATTTCCCCCTCTGAACTTTTTGTTACAAATGTATTAAGAACCGTTGATGACAGTTGACATGTTAATGCCTCATGAGGTCACATAAATCAGTGATTATCAACCAGAGGTATGTGTACCCCTGGGGTATGCAGAGGTCTTCCAGGGGGTACATCAACTCATCTTGATATTTGCCTAGTAGCTACATCAAAAACACTAGCAAATTCAGTACAAACAAAAATTTCATATGGACAATGACTTGCTTATACTGCTTTATATACTATACACTGAAATTTAAGTACAATATTTATATTCCAATTGATTTATAAATATATGGTAAAAATGAGAAGGTAAGCAATTTTTCAGGAATAGTCTTCTGTGACACGTTTGTATTTTTATATCTGATTTGGTAAGCAAGTAGTTTTTAAGTGAGGTGAAACTTGAGGGTACGCAAGTCAAATCAGACTCCTGAAAGGGGTACAGTAGTCTGGAAAGGTTGAGAGAGACTGACATAAATCACATAATATGGATTTCTCTTACTAAAAGAAGCCTGAGGAAGTTAGGTGCTCAAATCCAATTGGAATTTTGATGGGATATGGGCACCTTTAATTCTTTTACTAGAGAATACTGGGGGATATTTACTTGGCATCTTATGTGGCCAACAACAAAACTTCCTTGGAGTTCCTATAAATGATAGATGAAGATTCTTTAACACAAAGTCCTGCACCCAACAAAGGATAACTCAATATTGGACCTCATTCTGGTGGACAAATTGTTAATTACAGATTGTTGGTAAATTGCATAGTCAATTGCTTGACCACACTTTGGTTTGTTATAAAATATACTCAAGAGACCAAATAACCAAGGTCAGTCAGCTTTGTTGCTATAAGCCAATAATAATATACTACAGGGAAAAGGTTCAATGTGATGCCTGTCTCTGGGAAGCCCTCTTGTGCAGGGATATTACATTCACGTTAGGCGTAAGATGTGCTCCCAAAGTTATACATTTCAGTTGGTATTATTTATATGATGATTTCACAATTTACACGTCTCTTTACACATCGCTAAAATCCAACCTGTAATTTTGTCCCAATTACCTAACCTATTGTTCTGTTCCTTCCTATCTTTGTTTTGGATTAGCATTCCAGGTACTGGTCCATGAAGGTACTTCCCTAGTTTGTATTAAGACATTGAGTTTTGACAAGTTTCCTGTCTGCTTATATATATGCTTACTTTGGCAAATGCAAAGAGTTATGAGATACCTATCATAAGTGAATAGGATTATGATATAGGCCAGTTTATACTATATTACTGTTACAATATTTGTGCTTAATACATACGCATACTAATACATGTACATGTGATGTGGACAATACATGTTATTAATATGACATATAATATGCTAGCCAGCATACATACTCATTGCTGACTTAAAAATTAGCACTTTTCATGGTATCAGTGATCATGATCTGGTTACATGTGCTTTGTGGGGGCACCAACCAATAATGTGTATATTTGGCTCTTCAAAGGGTCAGTTTTCAAAAGTTTAAAACAGTTGTAAGCATAACTGACTGGTAACATAAATTTAAGTGGGAAGTGTCAGTGGAGGTGGTAGATTCACTGTTATTTGGAGCCTTGAAGAAAGATTAGATATTTTTCTGAAAGGTATGTTTGAAGTCAGTTTCTGGGAGAAGTTCTGCAGGTTGAGGGTGTCAGGCTAGCTAGTCATGGTGATGCCATCTGGCCTTGGAATCTGTGAGTCTATGAATCTCCTTGTTAATCTCCTTCCTTCATAGACCTTGTGGAGAACAGGCTTGCTTACATTGTCTTCAACTTGCTCATAACACTGTTGCTCTGTATTTGATAATGATTATAATCTAATCTCATGCAGCAGGGCTTCAATTGGTCATCTTCAGGGGGTCAGGAAGGAATTTTCCCCCAAAATAAGTTATCATAGGTAAGGGGGTCATCTTCCTCTGAAGCATCAGAGATCTGCCACAGCTAGATACAGATTACTAGTTAGGGTGGACTGGCGCTCGGATTTGGTACAAAATTCTCTGTCTTAGATGACTGGCTAGTGTGTCTTCCTCAGCTGGCTAGCGTGTAACTGATCACAAGGCTTGGATCACAGGAATTTCCCCAAAGTCAGTTTGGCAGGAACCTTGAAGGCTTTTCATTGTCCTTTGCAGCCTGGGGTGTGATTTGCCTTTAGGGTCATCTGAGCATATCTCATCTAATCAGTTCTCTGTCATGGCTTTGGTGGCACCTTGGTCTCTCTTATTCACTGCCTGTGGCACACATTAGTTTAGTCTCCTGAGGACTAAAATGCTTTGGTTTAATTGAATTTGTTGGGCTCAACATATGGTATTTGGATGGAATTTAATAGTGTGAGGTATGCAGGAGGTCAGACAAGATGATCTAAAGGTCCTTTCTGGCCTTAAACTCTATAAAACTATGAAAATCCTAGCCCCAGTTACTTGCATCATACTCAAATACTTTATACCATCCAGTCTAATATGATTTAAAGGACTTGTGTAAAATAGATGGTTCTTTGAAAGAAAGCTTAAGTGTCAAAACTTTTGTGTGTCTGGAATGCATTTATTAGAAATGCTCCATAGTGTGTGGTTTTTGGTTTGGGTTTTTTGGTCACAAATAAAATGACACATACACCAAATGGGTTGGGTAGGTGATTTTAAAGAAAAGTGAAATGCATAGTGAGACCTCCTGATGCAGTCTTTGTTTAGCCTTTTCACCAGTACTTTCCTAATACAATTTTGCATTGGATTTTAATATAATTTACAGATTATTTTGCTCTGAAACATCATGAGTAATCACGTGAAATCAATTCCAGTTTGTGAAAACCATTGTTCTAAAGGGACATTTAAAGAATACACATTGAAGATCATGTAATATATCAAACACTTTATTACTCATGTTTGTTATTTACAGTATTTACATATTGCACGTTAGTTGGAATGTTTACACATTGAACAGAAAGCCAGTGGCAGATTGTGTGTGTGTGTGTGTGTGTGTGTACAAAATTCACACTCTTTTGTCTTGAGAAAACTTGTTCACTTGGAATTGTGTTTTGTATTTGTCATGTAATTTGCACTCCAAGGGTACAATGTGACCCCTCCAACACTGAAATTTTTAAATGTTTGTTTTATCCAAACTCTCTTTTAATTGCATAATCATGAAGAATATCAAGTGAAAACCACTGCTGTGGAGTAGATTAAGAGTTCAGGGTATATAAACATCCCTCCAAGTCTCAGAATTCAGCAACAGAACATTAATTTCTTGGTGAAGGGTACATGTTCATGTAATTTTTGGCAGCACTACACATCAAATGTGGAGTGTACTTTTAAGTATGGAGCAGTAAGTACTATTGGCAGTTTTACTACTGTAAAGGATGTAGATCTGCAAACTGTTGAAAACATACAAAACACGTTAAAAGAATTATGGGAAATAGTCTGTCAATCTGCAAAAATAAATCCTCTTGTTCACAATGGAATATGTTATAAAGGTATTAAGTTCTATTTCCCTGTTGGTTTCCAAGGCACTTCTCCTTTTTCTTGGTGTTTCTTTTCTGTATGGTAGTATCTGTTGTATTTAAAATAATAATAATAACAATTAGTTGCCTTTATCATTTTCATATTTTAATTCAGCTGTTTAAAATGCATTTGGCAGATTGAATAGAGTTAGTAAATAAAGATTTTTGTAACAACTGTCTCTGGAAAATCTGGTAGTGCATTTCTGATCTCCTGTTCTGTTCATATTGCACCACTCACTAAAGAAACCTAACAGATTAGTGTTTTGGAAAAGCATCCTCTTTTGTGCTATTCCTATCTCTTTGATGCTCTATGGCTGGAAAACAGGTTTTAAAAATTACAAAATTCCACTATTTTAAATATGTAATACTTTAAACTTAGTTTTTTAGAACAAATCCGTTTCTAAATGCAGTAGTGAAGTCAAAATCTGAGTACATATCAACCATGCTATTAACATTGTCATTTTTGTAGTCTTAAAATCTCATTACCAATATAGTTTTGGCATAAGGTCTGCCCACATAGATCCAATGGCAAGATCAGGATTGAGGAGCCCAGGCATGCTCCCACTGAGGCAAAAACTAACAGTAAAATTATTTAAGTACAGCAGAAGCAGGAAGCCTGCCAATCAGGCAGTGGGACCACTAGTCACCAGAGATGGTAAAGGAGCACTCAATACAAGGCCATTGCAGAGAAGCTAAATTAACTCTTTGCATCAATCTTCACTGCTGCGAATGTAGGGGGAGATACCCAAAAAGAATAGCTCTGGTGCGTAACAAATCTGAAGTACCGTCCCAAATTGTGGCAGCAGGAAAGGATTTAGAACAAAATTGATCAACTAAACAGTAAGTCACCAGGACCAGATGGTATTCACCCAAGAGTTCTGAAGGAACTCAAATATGAAATTGCAGAACTAGTACCAAGTATGTAACCTATTACTGATACCAGCCTTTGTGCCTGATGACTGGATGGTGGCTAATGTAATGCTGGGCACCAGAGGAGATTCTGGAAATGACAAGCCAGTAAGCCTAACTTCTGTATCAAGCAAACTAGTAGAAACTATAGTAAAGAACAGAATTATCAGACACAGATGAATATGATTTGTTGCGGAAGAGTCATCACAGCTTTTGTAAAGGGAAGTGATGCCTCACCAATCTATTAGAATTATTTGAGGGAATCAACAAGCATGTGGATAAGCATGATCTAGTTTATAGTGTGCTTGGATTTTCTGAAAGCGTTTGCCAAGATCTTTCAGGCTTTTAAAGTAGCCATGGGATAAGAGGGAAGCTCCTCACATGGATCAGTAACTGATTGAAAAATAAGAAAGAGTAGAAATAAATGGTCAGTTTTCACAAAAGAGAGAGGTGAACAGCAGGGTCCCCCAGAGTTTTGTAGTGCAGCCTGTGCTGTTCATCATATCCATTAATGATCTGGAAAAGGGATGAACCATGAAATAGCAAAGTTTGCAGACTATACAAAATATTCAAGATTGTTAAGTCCAAAGCAGATGGCGAGAAGTTAGAGGGATCTCACAAAATTGGGTGACTGAGCAACAAAATGGCATTCATTGATTGAAATTCAATGTTGATAAATGCAAAGTAGTGCACAGTGGAAAAAATATTCCCAACTGTACATATACAGTGATAGGTTCTAAATTAGCTCTTTCCAGCCAAGAAAGAGATTTTGGAGTCAAGGGGGATAGTTCTCTGAATGCTCAATGCTCAGCGGCAGTCAAAAAGGTTAACAGGAACTATTGGGAAAGGCATAGAAAATATCCTAATGCCACTATATAAATCCATTGTATGCCCACACCTTGAATGAGTGCATTTCTGGTCATCCTGTTTCAAAAAAAGGTGTATTAGAATTGGAAAAGATACAGAAGGGCAACAGAGATGATCAAGGGTATGGAACAGCTTCCATACGAGGAGATAACCCCATGTTCAGAGTGACCCAAAACCTCTGACTACCAAAAGCCAGGAGTGGAATACAGAGGTGGATCACTCCCTAATTGCCCTGTTCTGTTACACTCCCCCTGAAGCTCTAGTATGGGCCACTGTCAGAGATAGGATACTGGTCAAGATGGATCACTGGGCTAGTGTGGCAGCTCTTATGTTCTTATGATTAGGAGTTTTTTCACTCCGTTCAAAGGAAAGATCTGGAGAGATGACAGCAAAAAATTTAGTATTGTGTTTTGAAACCCAGTCTTACCAGTATAGTCTGACTACAGTGGGACAACTCAAGTAGGAATTGTAACAGTGGGACTTTTATTTGCTGGAAATCTGTGGCTTTTTCAGCACATTTCACAGAATGTTAGTATTAGCCCTTCTCTGAACAGCTCCAGGGAAATAATGACTGGTATTGAATCATACTGAATCGTGTTAGCTGAATAAAGTAGGTATAACCTTATGGGCTAGGAATGTTAAGTCAAAAGTAGTTGAGATATGGAAGCTTATCAAAACACATTTATCTATGAGCAGTATTCATTCACCATCAGATTTAAAGTTGTAATTATGCATAGCATTGTAAAGATTAAAAATACTGTCACTGTGAAGTTTAGCATTATCTCCATGATGCAGCTATGCAGGCAAAGCAACACTATGCATTTTAGTGGATATTTTAATGGATATTACAAAATGAGAAGATGTTAAATTCCTTTACATTTGTCCATGTTCTCTTAAGTCATTTTTATGTCTAATTTTAAGGGTCTAATATTTTAAGGCTTGTCTACACACAAACCAGGACCAAAATAACTAAATTAGTTTTAATTCACATCTTTTCATTATATTGGTGCAAGTCTGTGTTGACACACTTATTTTCAGTTGACTATCCTATTTTGATGTTAAACTCAAGTCAGTAAAAAATTAACTTTGCATCAAAATAGCAGGATTGTAAACTTTTTGCAGCAGGGGCTGTCTTGTTCAGCATTTGTACACAAGGGAGTTTTGGTCCTTGATTGGGATTTTTAGGTGCGACAGACCGCCGTCGTTGGCGGGTAGGATCGAACCGGGGACCTTAGGGCATGGAGCTTAGTGCATGAGCTAAAAGCCAACTGGCTGTTAGCTAATGCTGTAGAGCAGACTCATTTTAGCTCTCTCTCTAAGTGGTCTCGGTGCCACTAGTTGGGACAGAACACCACACCCAGAAGTTGTGTGGGTTATACTACCACAATACGAATAATTAATAAAACCCAATTTAGTTACTTTAGTTTCACTTTGTATGTAGAAGACCCTTAATTACAGAAGAAACTGACTGCTGTAATTGAATGTGGCTTTTTCATTAATTTATTTTCAGTGACTCATATTCAATAAATATTTTTTAGCTGAAAACGCATGCTGCTTCTAAACCCCAAAGTGATTATTTTGGGGGGGAAAGAGGTGAGGTTAATTTTTTTTCTAAGCATGAAAAAACTTTCTTTAATAAAATGGAGGGGTTTTGCAGTGAGAATTCGGACAGTGGAATTTAAAATGTTTAATTTGGCATATAAATCGCTAATCAGGAATTTGTGCTTTGCTAAGTTTGAAAAATAGGAAATAGTGTATAGCACACTCTTACTAATTTAAGTGTGCGTTGTGACAGATATGCCATATCCTTGGGAGACCTTATTGAATTAAATTTAGGTATGTTGGAGTCCATTGTATTAAATGCAAATGTATTCTTATAGGCTGGGATTGCATGTAAGCTCTCTAAGGGGAAAAGTGTGATGTGTGGCCTGGGATTTCAAAGAACTATACTGAAAATGTGCCAGACAAAAATGAACTATGGGATAAATGTAAAGTGGATTTCCTGGAGAATACCTAAAGCAAGGTTAGTGCAAATTCCTCATCTCTGGTTATGCAAAAACCTATCATTTTTTTTGAAGCTACACCCTGAGGAGTGGGTCATTGTCCGCTGATTACCTGTTTCTGGAGACTGGAGATCAAAGGTCTTAACAGTATAAAGAAACGGCTGAACTGCCCACCCTGGGTTCAGGTTCTGAATCTGAGGCAGTTACGAACTTGTAACAACAGGGAGAACCAGGTTGTGGGTTTTGAAGGACTGACATCTACCAGAGCCTGAGGTTTGAGTGGGGGTGACCTCTGGTAAACTTTTTAGCATGCATGTTGGGTTTTTGGTGGGTGGGTGGTTTGTTTGTTTGTTTTTTATGTTTTCTCTGTAGTGCTTTCACCTTAAGTGTGCTTGCTTAGAAAGAGCTGTGTGGTAAGTTATAATTGCGGGCAATATGCTGGGCATAGCCTCTGGAGAGAAAGCAAAGCACAGATGCTAGCCTTTTAAGCAGTCTGGCTTCCTGGGGATATCATAGTTTAGGAAGGGAACTGCAGCTTTAAAGAACTCCTGGTCAGGAAAGAGTGAGACACATCTCTCTGCCCAAGAGACATGACTGCTAGGAGCCGGAAACCTTTAAGTGGGTGCCTTTAATGGACAGCAGGAGGGGAAAATAGGTGCAGCTTCCTTGAAACTGATAGGTGTAGAGTGGGGTTTTTAGACTTACATGTGTGTTTTTCTGGATATCTTATTGGACCTAGAGGATTTCAGATGCTCTATGCTGAGGCACATCACGCTTTCATTCCTGTTTCCCGTACCTTTTCAGAAACCCACTTAAGGGACCAAAGATTGGCTAGTAGTTACCTTTACCTTATGTCATAATGCTACAAAATTCCCACATCTTTGAAATTTTGAACTAGTCTTCTGCAAGCAACTAAATACCTCAACTTTGCTATAGACTAGGACTCAGCTAAGAGAACACTTACAACTTCTGTACACTTACAGCGCTCAGTGAAAATGCTTTCTCCACTGATGAGAGAGTTTCTACCATTGATTTAGGTACTTCACCTCTTTTGAGAGGCAGTAGCTATGTCGACTGGGGAAGCCCTCCTGCTGATATAGCGCTGTCTACACCGAGAGTTCAGTCGGAATAACTGTCACTCAGGGGTGTGGATTTTCCACTAAAATGAGCTAAAATGAGTCTGCTCTACAGCATTAGCTAACAGCCAGTGTGGATTTTCCACACCCCTGAGTGACAGTTATACCAACATAAATTTGTAAGGTAGACCAGAG